GGTTTTTTTTTGGGATTCTCAGGAAGGTTCCAGAGGGAGTTTGGGGCCATTTTTGGGGTGTCTTTGGGATGTTTCTGAACCCCTTTTCCCTCCCATGGGGATTGCACCACAGACTGGGAGTGGTTTTGGGATGATTTTGGGGTATTTTTGGGATGTTTTGGGTGTTTTTGGGGCATTCCTGACCCCTTCTCCCCCAGGAGGTTTGCACCACGTACTGAGGGTGTTTTCGGGGCAGGTTTTGGGATGTTTTTGGGGTATATTTGGGGATGTTTTGGCTATGTTTTTGGGGTGTTTTGGGATGTTTTTGGGCTGATTTTGGGATGTTTTTAGGGATGTTTTTGGGGATGTTTTGGGTTATTTCTGACCCCCCTTTCCCCCCTCTACCCTCAGGAGGATTACACTACAGACGAGGAGGACGAGGGGGGCGCCGGGGGCAGCGCCGGGATCCTGGACCTGCTCAAGGCCAGCCGGCAAGTGGGGGGCTCCGAGTACCCCCAGCTCAGGTGGGGGGGCCGGGGGGGGCTGGGGAGGCGCTTAGACGGGGTTTGCAGTGGAATTTTGGGGGTCTCCAGGTGGTGGGAGATGGGGGTTGGAGAGGAAATTTGAGAGGCAATTTTTTGGGGTCTCCGGGTGGTGGGTTTGGATGGGCTGGGGGATTTTGGGGTGGGGTTGGGGGGTCCCCAGGGGCTTTGCGGTCTCCTGGTGTTCCTGGGCTTGAATTTGGGGGCACTGTTGGAGGGCTGGGCTTGGTTTAGGGTTCCCTGGGGGTTTTGGGGGAGCTGGGTTTGGGCTTGGGGGGTGTCTTTGGTGGTCCACAATGGCTTTAGGGTCCCTGGGAGGTTTGGAAGTTCCCCAGGAGTTTGGGGAGGGGCTCTCCAGCAGGGTCGTACCCCCCCCAAACCCCCCAAATTTCCCCTCTTCCCCCCACAGCGAAGCACCCGCCTCCCCCAGCACACGCGAGGCCATCCAGGGCATGCTGTGCATGGCCAACCTGCCCGCCGGGACTCCCCTGGGACCCCCCAACTGGTGGGGTGGAGGGGGTCCCCCCGAGCGGGCTGGGGGTCCTGGGGGGTCTGGGGGTCCCCGGCGAGCCCCCCCAGCCCCCCGGAGCACGGACAGCGAGGCTGAGGGCAGCCTGGACGAGCAGGACAGCCTGGGCGCCTGCTTCAAGGATGCCGAGTACAGTGAGTGTTTTGGGGTAGAATTGAATCCCAAATCCCAAAATGAATCCCAAAAATCGAATCCTAAATCACCGAAACCCTCCCAACTCAATTTTTTCTGCCTTCTCCCCAGTTTATCCCTCGCTGGAGTCGGATGAAGACGACCCCGCCCTAAAATCCCTGCCAAAAAAGAAGAAGGTGACGGACGACGCTCCCTGGAGTCCCAAAGGTTTGSGGGGGCACCCCAAAAAAATTGGGGGAGTGGTGGGAGGGTCCTTGGGGGTAAGGTTTGAGAGGAGTTTGGGGGTCTCCAGGTGGTGGGAGAGATATCTTGCTCGATGTCTAATTTTGGGGTGTTCTGCCTTCTTTTTTCAGGTCTCATTTTGGATCAGACTTTTTTTGGATCTGACTTTGAGATGTTTTCCCCCCTTTTTTTGAATCTGATTTTGGGATGTTCTACCCCCTTTTTTGGGGCGCTCTCCCCCCTTTTTGAATTTGATTTCAGCGTGTTCTCCCCTCTTTTTTCGATCTGATTTCAGGGTGTTCTCCCCCTCTTTTTCGGGTCTGATTTTGGGATGTTCTCCCCCCCTTTTTGGGGTCTGATTTGGGTTTTTCCCCCTCTCTTCCCCAGCGCGGGTGACGCCGTCGCTGCCCCGGCAGAGCCGCCCCGTGCGTGAGGGGACCCGCGTGGCCTCGGTGGAGACCGGGCTGGCGGCCGCTGCTGCCAAACTGGCCCAGCAGGTGAACTGGGGACCCNTTTTTCCCCCTCTCTTCCCCAGCGCGGGTGACGCCGTCGCTGCCCCGGCAGAGCCGCCCCGTGCGTGAGGGGACCCGCGTGGCCTCGGTGGAGACSGGGCTGGCGGCCGCTGCTGCCAAACTGGCCCAGCAGGTGAACTGGGGACMCTGGGGGGACACTGGGGAGGTGGGGGTGGGGCCACAAGGGGATTTTAGAGAGTTTCAGAGAGGTGGTTTGGAGTTTGGGAGGGTTTTTAGGGGGTCCAGGAAGGGTTGGGGTGGGGGTCCAAGAGGTATTGAGGGGGGTTGTGGGGTGATTTGAGCTGTCAGGGGATATTTAGGGGAGTTCAGAAGTGTTTGAAGGGTATCATGGATTTGGTTTGGGGTTTGTGTGGGTATTTAGCGTGTTTGGGAGGGATTGGAGTGTGGTTCCAGGAGGTTTTGAGGGAGATTTGGGGACGTTGTGGGGTGATTGGGGTTGTCAGGGGATATTTGGGAGGTCCCAGAGGTTCATATCCCTTTCTAGACTCTCTCACTTCAAAGTCCCCTAAACCCTTCCCTGAGACCCCCAGGACCCCCCTGAGCCCCCCATTTTTTCCCCCCAGGAACACCGCAAGCTGCAGCGCCGGAAGGGCCCAGCCAAGCGTCGCCCTCCCTCGCCCCCCTCCCCTGAGGAAGAGGAGGACGAGGAAGATGAAGAGGACGAGGAGGACGAAGAGCCCGACCCAGAGCCTGAGGGGGACCCTGAGGGGGACCCGGAACCAGAACCGGAGCTGGGTGGGGGAGAARCCGAGGCTGAGCCCCCTCCAGAGCCACCTCCAGAGCCGCCCTACCCCCCCAGCCTGGCTGACCACGAGTACACAGCACGGCCAGGGGGGCCGGGACCCCCATCTGGGGCACAGCCGGGCCGGGCGCCCACCCCCATGGCCCCGGGGGTCTTCCTGAGCCAGCGGCGACCCCCTCCGGGCACTGCCCCCCCCAGCCACGGTGAGTGGAGGAGGTCTGAGGGGATTTCAGTGGGTCCAGTGGAATTTTTTTGGGGGATTCAGGGGTATTTGAGGGGTTTTGGGGGGAGATTGGGGGAGGTCTGGGGCTGCTTGGGGGATCTGAGAAGGCTTGGGGATGGGTTGGGGGGTTTGTGGGGATTTAGGGAGGGTTGGGTCATGGGGTTCGGGAGGTCCAAGGGGATTTCAAGGGTTCTGGGATTGGTTTTTGTGATGATTCAGGGTGATCTGAGGTGTTTTGGGGGAACACATGCAGGTCCAAGGAGGTATGGGCGTGGGTGCAGGGGTTTTATGGGGATTTGGGGGAGGGTCTGGGCGGGTTTTTGGGGTTATTTGGTGGAACTCCAAGGTAGGATCTGCAGGGGGGTTTTGGGGTGGGGGGTTTTGTGGGTCTGAGGGGGGATTTGGAGAACAGGGGGTTCCATCGGGGGTCCCGTCTCCCCTCTCTGGTGACATTCCCAATCCCACCACAGGGAAGCGCCCCCGGAAGGGTTTGGCCACAGCCAAGCAGCGCCTGGGYCGGATCCTCAAAATCCACCGCAACGGGAAACTGCTGCTCTGAGGGTGGGGCTGGGACACGCCCAGGGGTGTGGTCACCCAGACCACACCTTTTCCTGCATGACCACGCCCACTGCACTGCGGGGATAGGACGGTGTAGGGTGGGGCCTGGATATTGACCACGCCCAGCTCAGGCTCCGCCTACCTGCAGTGTGAAGAATGAACTTTGGGTGGGGYTGCTGCAGAAGGGGTGGGGCCTGAGGGCCACACCCATAAGCTAGATTAAATACCACGCCCACTAAAAGGGAGTGGCTTGTATCAGGCTCCGCCCCTACAGGCGTGGCCCTGCCCTGGCGTGCCACACTCTGACCCTCCGAAATGGGGGCGTGACCGACGAAAGCCACGCCCACAACACGAATTCCCCACCGTGAGACCACGCCCCAACCACTGCCCAAACCACGCCCATTCCCGTGTAGGACGAGCCGCGGCGTTGAGTGGGCGTGGTCATGCAAAACCACGCCCACACGGTTGGCAGCTAAAGGGTGGGGCTGTGGCCAGGCCCCGCCCACTGCTGCTCCCTCCTTCCCATTGGCTGTGACAGAGATGAAGGGGTGGGGCGTTCTCCCTCATTGGGCACCTCCAGGAGCTCAGGCGATTGGACAGGCCCTGCCCCTGGCTTTAAGGGGGCGGAGCCATCTCTGATTGGTCCTTGCAGGGTTTTTTTGCCCCTCCCCCACGTGTCTTCAGGTTGATTGATGGGGGCGGGGCCGCTTCCCATTGGCTGCCCCGGTTTTGTAGGCGTGTCCGGAGGCCGCGGCCCCGCCCCCCCTTTTGTATTTGTAGAATAAAAAGAAAAACACGAATTCATGAAAAATGACCCACGCTGGGTCACGTGATGCCTTTAGCGCGCGCCGCTAGGCAGCTCCCGCGAAACATCGCGATAGCTTGCGGTCTCCTTAGCTGGTGCTCTCGCGAGATCTGCTCCAGTCAGCCGGCTCTCCCGCGAGATCCCGAGCTGCCCTCAGCCGGCGCTCTCGCGAGAGCTGCGCGCGCCGCCGCCGTTCCCGCCGCTGAGGCAGGGGCAGCGCTCCCCCTGCCCTCCCCCCACCCTCGGCGGGTCCGTTCCCGCTCCCGGTCTCGCCTCTCTACGCGCTCCTCTCGCGAGGCTTAGGGGCCAAAGTGCCGCCGCCACCGCCTCGCGAGATCTCGCTCATCAGCGTGCCGGTGAGTGCCGGTGCTTAAGGGAACGGCGCGGGGTCCGCGGCCGGCGGGGGGAGCCGGGGGTTGAGCCCCTCTGTGGCGGGCGGGGCCGTTCCCCCCTTGCCCCTCCGCTCCMCCCCCCCCCCACCACCGCCCCGGTACGAGGCGGGATCCGTGAGGGACGCCTTCCCCTCCCCCATGGCTCTTCGGAAATCTCGCGAGGTTCTCTCATCTCCCGCCCTATTGCTCGGCGCGCTCTCGCGAGACTTCGCCGCCGCGCCTCTCGCGTTCCCATTGGCCTTCGGCGGCGCTGCCCCGCCCCTTGCTCGGCCCGCGGTGCCGCCCCCTCCTTGTCCCGCCGGCCACTCTCGCGGGACTTGCGGCGGCTCTCGCGGGATCTCGGGCCGCGGCCGGGGCTCAGTGTAAGATGGCGGCGGCGGCAGCGGCGGGACGGGCCCGGGCCGGGTTCTGACCCCCCCTGCTCCCCCCGCCTACAGAAGGTACCGGGGCCGGCGGGGCGGGAGGCTCGGCCCGGCGCCGCTGCGGGGTCCGCGACAAGGGGGGATGGCTCCCGGCTCCGTCCTGGGGGGCCCGCCCCCCCCCCCCCCCCCCCCCCCCCCCCCCGGGCCGTGACGGTGCGAAGGCCGCGACGTTGCCAGAGCAACGCCCAGCTCGGAGCCTTCCTCCTCCTCCTCCTCCTCCTCCCGCCACCCCCCCTCCCCAGCGGCCTCCCGTGATTTGGGGGCCCCTTTCCTTCCCTCACGGCCCCCCTTCCCCCTCTCCCTTCGACCTCCCCCGGTTTGGCACACCCCCTTACCGGGATTCAGGCGTTCCCCGCCGAGATTTAGGGTGTTTGGCTTCCCTTACCTCCTGATTTAGCCTTCTCACGTCTATAGGGCTCCCCTGTATTTTAGGGGTTCTCTCTAGTACTTTTTCCATGTCTCATTATTTAGAGAGTCCATCATCTCCTAGCAGACCCTTCCCAAAGCTCAGGTCTTCCTCAGCGGTTTCCCGGCATTTTGGGGACCTCTTTACCAGCCAGCCCTCCCCAGTTTATTAGGCCCTGCTTCTTGCAGCTCTCCGGGATTTAGCCCCCATCATTTAGGATTTCCCCTCATTTAGATCCCCATGGATTTGGGGGTCTTTTCTGTGGTTGCCCAGTACTTTTTTCTCAATTTGCCCCTTTCCACATTYTGCAGAGATTTCGGGCTGTTCTCTTCCCGGGTTCCCAGCATTCAGCCCCCCTCCTCCGCCCATGCAATTCTCACGCTGTGTTTTGGGGGATCCCTTACCTGGGATCAGGCGCCCCCCCCCACCCCAGTCATCCCTTAGTGCCCCCAGTCCATCCCAACCCCCCCGCATCGTTCAGCCGCTGACACGGGACCCCCAAAACCCCGGTATCTCACACCTCCCTTTCCAAATTCCCTCCCAGCAGCACCCGGGTCCCCCTCCCTTGCCGCGACCGGGCCGGGCCGAGGATGGACTGGGTGTGATTCCCGGTAAGGGCTGCTCTGCGTCCCCCGTGCCCCCCGGTTGGGGGATCCCTAAAACTGGGGGGGAGGGGCGTGTGTGGAAACCTGCCGGGGGGGGACTCGAGAGAATTTGGGGGTGGGTACAGAGAGCGTCTCGCGTCGGGAAGGTTTTTACGGAGCTGTTTTGGGGGCAATACGGGATGGAACCCTCGGGCTCTTTTTAGAGGGGGGGTCCCTAAAGCAGCCCCCGGGGGCACAGCCCCGGCACCCCGGGAATGCCCCCCCCCGCCCCCCAATGTGATGCGTCACCGTCACCGAACCGGCCGGGCCGGCGGGAGAGGGGGGGCCCCGAGGGGGGGCGGGGGAGYCCCGGCACGCGGCCGCGTCAGCCCCTAATTACAGCCCCTAATTATAGCCCCTCGTCACCCCCGCGGGGCTAATTGGGGAGGAGGGCGGTTTGGGGGGGGCCCCGGGCGACCCCCCCGGGCACGGCGGGGTTTTGCACATTCATTGTTCAGCCGGTGCCGCGACGTCATCGGCCGCGGCCGCCGCGGCGCCTGTCGGGACAGCGAGGCCCTGTCGGGACACGGGGCCCCCCGGCGTGGGGGGGTTTGACCCGCGGTGTGGGGGACCCCGGTGTGACCCCCCTCCCCCCTCCCCGTGTGGCCGCAGGCGGAACGCGAGAACCAGAACCCCCAAAATGAAAGTGGATCGGACGAAACTGAAGAAAACCCCCACGGAGGCGGTGAGGAGGGAGGGGAGATGCTGGGGRGGGTGGTTTGGGGACACCCTGGGGGCGGTCGAGGCAGGGATTGTGACAGGACACCCGGGGGTGGGATCAGGGACACCCTTGGGGGGGGTTGGGGGCTTTGGGAGCAAAATGGTGGAGATTTGGGGACCCCCAGGGGGTGTTGGGGACACCCAGAGAGGAGAGTGACAAGGTCCCTGTCCCCTCCCCAGCCCGCYGACTGCCGGGCCCTCATCGAGAAGCTGAAGGCGTGCAGTGATGAGCAGCTGGTGACGGAGCTGCAGCAGATCAAGACATGGAACATCGGGAAGGTGCGGGGGGACAAAAACCCTGGGGGGGTGTCCAGAAACCCTGTGGGGAGGTCCAGGGATGAGGTGGGCCACCTGAAATTCCTGAGGGATTGTCCTTAACTTGTTAGTATGGTGCTAAGCTCATTCCCAAACCAGTCACTGTCGTGGTGGTGTCACCCCAGAACCTCCCCAAATCACGGGGAATGTTGTTTCCCTACAACACCACTAAACTTGCGGGGGAGGAATCCCTGGTTTCTGCTGAGCCCCTCAAACCTCACAGCTCTGGTCCTTTCATTCTATTCTGGAGTTTTCTAGAGCCTTAAAAATGTGGGAGGGAGCTACTGTAATGTTCCTGCAGCTCACCTGGAATTTTAGGGGGTTACCCTGCCTTTTATTTGCCTTTTCCCAAACTGGGGGTGCTCTGCAATGTCCTTATCGTTTTCCAGAAGGAAGGGCCTGATTTCCCATGGTCTGGGACTGGGAGGGTTGTGAATGTGTTTGATTTGGAGCACCAAAACTCAGGGGGAGGGAGGGCTCTGCAGTGTCACACAGCACCCTTGGTATGATAGGGGGTACCCCTATCGTTCTCTCAAGACACTGAGGCAGGTATTCCAATTTCTTCCTGTTCTTCCAAAAGGGTTTCTTCCTGTTTTGTTTTTGTCCTGGAGGTGTTTATGGTTATAAATGCTTTCTGTCCCGTAGTTGCAAAACCTCAAGGAGGAATTTCAATATCCCTATAATCATTCTGAAATAGTAGGAGAACACTTTCTAGATCCCAAAACACTCAGGGAGGACCCAAATTCTCCCTCAGCCCCAAAACCACCAGGAGTGGGGTGCATTTTCTTGCCTTGTATTGGGAATGGGGCCCACCTGCTGCCCAGGGGAGGCTGGGCTTGGGGTCCCCCCTGGGATGTGGGGGTTCATGGGTTGAGACCCCCCTGCCTGTGTGGGTTCCTGGGCAGTTGGGCTGAGTTTGGGGGCTGGGGTGGGGTCCATGGGGTCTGTAATTCACTCCTCTGCCCTCCCACCAGTGCAAACTGTAGCACTGGGTGGACCTACTTGGGGATTTGGGGGAGCTGGAGTCTGTACTGTGTCCCCCATCCCCAAATCTCACCCCCCTGCCCCCCTGCAGTGCGAGCTGTACCACTGGGTGGGTTTGATGGGGGGGCTATGCTGTGTTGGGGTCCATGCTGTGCTCCCCACCCCCAAATCTCACCCCCCTGCCCCCCTCCAGTGCGAGCTGTACCACTGGGTGGACCTGCTGGACCGCTTCGACGCGCTGCTGGCCGAGGCCGGCCGGCCAGTGGAGGCCATGAGCTGGATGCTGGCCTGCGACCGGCCCGAGCGCCAGCCCCTCAAGGCCCTGCTGCTGGCCCTGCTCAACTTCACGGCGCTGCTCATCGAGTACAGCTTCTCCCGCCACCTCTACAGCTCCATCGAGGTRGGCACGCCCCCAACCCCTCCCTGAATGTCCCCGATTGTCCCCGAGCGTTCCCTGACGCACCGTGTCCCTGCAGCACCTGACCACGCTGTTGGCYTCCTCGGACATGCACGTGGTGCTGGCCGTGCTCAACCTGCTCTACGTGTTCAGCAAACGCTCCAACTACATCACCCGCCTKGGCTCGGAGCGCCGCGGGCCACTGCTCGCCCGCCTGCAGCACCTGGCTGAGGTGGGGGGGCCCTTGGGGGGAGGTTTTGGGAGGGTTTTGGGGGGGTTTGGGCAGTGCTGAGCTGGGCTGGTTTCCTTGCAGAGCTGGGGTGGAAAGGAGAATGGGTTCGGGCTGGCTGAGTGCTGCCGGGACCTGCACATGATGGTGAGTGACACTTGGGAGTCCTCCGGAGCTGATCTGTGTCCTCTTGTCCTGTCCCGGGGTCCCCAGAACTCACCTGTGTCCTCCTTGGGGTCCCCAGAACTCACCTGTGCCCTCCTTGGGGTCCCCAGAACTCACCTGTGCCCTCCCTGGGATCCCCAGCACTCACCTGTGCCATTCTTTGGGTCCCCAGCACTCACCTGTGCCCTCCTGTTCCCCCTGTCCCAGGGCCCCAAGATCATTCCGTGTCCCTTCATTGTCTCGTGGCAGCCCCAACACTGTGCTGTGTTTGTCCCTGTGTCCCAAGTGTGCTGTCACTTCTTGATACCCCCAAAACTGTCTGATATTTTAATTCATGTCTCAGGGTCCCCAGTGCTGTCCTGGGTTTTTCATCGTGTCCCCTCAGGGTCCCCCAGTGCCATCCTGGTCTTCCCCAGTATTGTGCTGTGTCATATGTTACGTCTTGGGGTTCCCCAATACGGTCATCCATCCTGTTGAAGTGTTCTGGGGTCCCTCTCTGCTGTCCCATGACCCCTTTGGGTGCTGTGGGGTCCCTCAGCAATGTCCTGTGGCATACTGAGGTTCCCCAGTGTTGTTCTGTGTTCCTTGTCATGTCTTAGGGACCCCCAAAGTCTTTAGGGTCCCGAAATGCTCTCCTGTCATGGTATGGGGTCCTCCAGTGCCGGCCCCTGTTCCCTCTGAGTGGTGCTTTGGATTTTTTCTTTTGTCGTAAACCGGTTTCCAAACTCGTCCTTGTCAGATTCTGGGGTTCCCATATCTATTCTGAGTTTCACTGCTACTCCTCAGGACCCCAAATGCGCCCCAACACCATCTGGAGGTCTCTTGATGGTGTCCTGTGTCCCCTCTAGGTGCTCAGGAGTTCCTGTCCTCTGTCATGTTCTCTCTTGTCCCGTTCTGATGTCCCCAAAACCTTCATGGGACTATTTGTTATGTTCTGGTGTTCGTGACATTGCTTCGTGTGCCTTTGTCACATGCTGAGGCCCCTCAGTGTCATCCTGGGGTCTCCAGTGCTGTCCTGTGTCCCCTCGGGGTGTTCTGGGGTCCCCACCCGTGTCCTGTTCTGCTCTGTGACATCTTGCTGTCCACGGCACCTTCCTGAGTTTAGGGTCCCCCAGCACCCCTTTGTCACCCCTGGGCTCCTCCCATCCCTTTGCCAACTYTGTCGTGTCCCAGTGTCCCCCAGCCTGGCCCTGTCAMCCCTRGGGYGGGGACCCCAGTGTYCCCCCCTCACCCCCATGTCYCTTCCCAGAAATACCCCCCCAGTGCCACCACTCTGCACTTTGAGTTCTACGCCGAGCCGGGCGTYGAGGTGAAGGTGGACAAGAGGGTGAGTGACGGGGATGTTGGGGACATTTGGGGACACACGGGGTGGGCCCCCAAAACCTTGGGCCCACCCCTTGACCTCCCCTGACCCCCCCAGGCCACCAGCACCACCCTGCACTACATCCACATCGAGCAGCTGGACAAGGTGAGTTGGGGAGGGGGCTTTTCTTTGTTAGGGTCCCCCCAAACTCCCACCGCCTGTTTTTTCCTTTTCACCCCAATCTTGCCCCTTGCCCCCTCCCCAATTCTTCTGCCTCCTACTCTAGATTTCAGAGAGCCCCTCGGAGATCATGGAGTCCCTCACCAAGATGTACAGTATTCCCAAGGACAAGCAGGTGCGTGGTGCAGGGTGGCAGTGGAGGGACCTGGAGGGGTTTGGGGTCACACCCAGAGGGGGTGTCTGACCCCCTAAGCCCCTCCTTGAGCTTTGCTAAATTCCCTGCAGATGCTGCTCTTCACCCACATTCGCCTGGCCCACGGCTTCTCCAACCACAAGAAGCGGCTACAAGCAGTGCAGGCCCGGCTCCACGCCATCTCTATCCTGGGTGGGCTTTTGTTAAGGGCTGGATTAATTGGGGTGGGTTTGAGGGTTCCTGAGGGGCTGTTTGGGGTGATCACCACCCCCTATCTCCACAGTGTACTCCAATGCGCTGCAGGAGTCAGCCAACAGCATCCTGTACAACGGGCTCATCGAGGAGCTGGTGGACGTGCTGCAGATCACCGACAAGCAGCTGATGGTGAGACCCCTCCCCAAAAACCCCCAGACCCTTCCAGTGGCACCGCCAAACCCATCACATCCATGTGTCCCCTCGGCAGGACATCAAAGCAGCGTCGCTGCGGACGCTGACGTCCATCGTGCACCTGGAGCGCACGCCCAAGCTCAGCAGCATCATTGACTGCACCGGCACTGCCTCCTACCACGGCTTCCTGCCYGTGCTGGTGCGCAACTGCATCCAGGCCATGATCGGTGCGTCCGGGGGGACGGGGGGGGGTCACCTGGGGGGTGGGACTGACCCTAACACCRCCTGTCCCCTCCCCCAGACCCCTCCATGGAGCCTTACCCCCACCAGTTCGCCACGGCGCTCTTCTCCTTCCTCTACCACCTGGCCAGCTACGATGCGGGCGGCGAGGCCCTYGTGTCCTGCGGCATGATGGAGGCACTGCTCAAGGTGGGCTGCCCTCACTTTTGGGGAGGGGTCTTGGCCACCTTTAGGATCCCCTCACACACTGTTGGTCCCTTTGYAGGTGATAAAGTTCCTGGGGGATGAGCAGGACCAGATCACGTTTGTCACACGGGCAGTGCGYGTGGTGGATCTCATCACCAACCTGGACATGGCTGCCTTCCAGTCACACAGCGGCCTCTCCATCTTCATCTACCGCCTCGAGGTAGTACTTTCCCCACTGCTGGGGTGATTTCAGGGTCCCTCCGGGTCATTTTGGGGTCCCTCCGGGTTGTTTTGGGGTGCTGAATGTCTGTTCCCCCCTCCCCAGCACGAGGTGGACCTATGCCGCCGTGAGTGTCCCTTCGTCATCAAGCCCAAGGTGCAGCGACCACCTGCTGCCACCCTGCCTGAGGGTGAGGACATGGAGACAGACATGGAGGGTGAGCAGAGGGCCGGGAGCAGGGCTGTGCCACCCCTGCTGTGTCCCCTGTCACCCCACCGATGTCACCGTCTCCCTRCAGTGACCGACGTGGCCATGGAGAGCAGCCCTGGACCCTCGGCCGAAGCCCGGCCGGACCCTGCGCCGCCAGCCCCACCTGCTGTGCCCAGCACCAGTGCTGCTACCCCCTCCCCGCGCGGCGGTAGGTGGCCCCCAGGGCTGGGGGACGCAGTGGGGACAGTGGGGACGCTGCAGGGGAGACTCACTCCTCCGTGTCCCCCACTTCGCCAGGAGTGCAGTGCATCCCGCAGCGTGCCGCCTTGCTCAAATCCATGCTGAACTTCCTCAAAAAAGCCATCCAGGACCCTGCCTTCTCCGACGGCATCCGGCACGGTGGGTGCTCCCCGTGTCCCCAAATCCCCCTGGGGGACAGCATGGGTGGCAGTACCTGCTGAACCCCCGCCATGTCTTCTCGCAGTGATGGATGGCTCGCTGCCCACCTCGCTGAAGCACATCATCAGCAACGCCGAGTACTATGGGCCCTCGCTATTCCTGCTGGGTGAGCCCCGCCTCGGCCACGCCCAGGCCACGCCCGGAGGGCACGCAGGGACCGGGGACACCCCTGTCCCCTTGCCCAGGTGCTCGGCCCGCCYTCAGTGCCCCCTGTCTCTCCTCCCGCCGCAGCGACCGAGGTGGTGACGGTGTTCGTGTTCCAGGAGCCCTCGCTGCTGTCCTCGCTGCAGGACAACGGCCTCACCGACGTCATGCTGCACGCGCTGCTCATCAAGGACGTGAGTGTGACACATACCTGTCCCCTTGTTTTACCCCTCACTTGTCTGCTCATGTATCCCCTCACTGCCCTTCTATCAATTCCATTACCTGTTCCTTCACTGATGTCGTGCTGCATGCAGTGTTCATCAAGGACATGTGGGCCTCACCTGTCCCCTTACCTGTCTTCTTATCTGTTCTCTTGCATCTATCCCATTCCCTGTCCTAGCACTTGTCCCATCATGCGTCCCCTTACCTGTTCCCTGAAATTTCTTGGCATTTGTTCCTTCCTGTGTTCCTGTGCATCATCTTGCCTGTCACCCTGTCAGTCTTCCCACCTGTTCCATTTCTTGTCCCTTGTAGCTGTCTCACCACCTGTCCCACGTGCTCTGCACCTGTCCCCTGCATCTGTTGCCACATCTGTTTAGCACTTATTTTCACACCTGCCTTGCACCTGTCCCATTTCCTGTTCTGCACCTGTTCTCCCACCTGTCCATGCACCTGTCCCACTCTATGCCTGCCCCATACCTGCCCCGCCCCTCCAGGCCCCACACCTGCCCTGGGCACACCCACAGCCCCTGCCTTGCCCCACACCTGCCCTGGTCACACCCACAGCCCTTCCCCTGCCTCACACCTGCCCTGGGCACACCCACAGCCCCCGCCTTGCCCCACACCTGCCCTGGGCACACCCACAGCCCCTGCCTTGCCCCACACCTGCCCTGGTCACACTCACAACCCTTCCCCTGCCCCACACCTGCCCCAGGCATACCCACAGACCCTCCCTGCCCCCTAGGTGCCAGCCACACGGGAGGTGCTGGGCTCACTGCCCAACGTGTTCAGCGCGCTGTGCCTGAACGCGCGGGGGCTGCAGAGCTTCGTGCAGTGCCAGCCCTTCGAGCGCCTCTTCAAGGTGCTGCTGTCCCCYGATTACCTGCCGGCCATGCGGCGCCGCCGCAGCTCCGACCCCCTCGGTGAGACATGGGGGGTCCTGGGGGTCTGAGAGGGGGCACAAAGTAAACCCAGGGGGGGTTTGGGGGGGACACCCACAGAGTGAACCCCAGGGGTTGTCTGGGATCTGGAGGAGTTTTATTTTAGGGTTGATTACTATTTTTTGAGGGGGGCCATTACCCAGCCTTTCATGCAAGCACCTATTCAACTTTTAAATTGCTTCTGAGTGATTGGGTTAAACTTTGAGAGGGCTGTTGTTTATTTTAGAGACCACCCCCCAATTTTTTTAGCCTCCAAACCCTTTTCTGCTTTTCCCCCAACATTTCTTCCACCCCCCAAACGTCCTCCTCTGTCACCCCCAGGCGACACCGCTTCCAACCTGGGCAGCGCTGTGGACGAGCTGATGCGACACCAACCCACGCTCAAAACTGATGCCACCACCGCCATMATCAAGGTGACACCCCCGGGACGGGTGGGGACACTGGAGGGGGTGTTTGGGGTGTTCCCAGAAGTGTCCCCTAAACCACAACCGCCTCCAGCTGCTGGAGGAGATCTGCAGCCTGGGCCGGGACCCCAAGTACATCTGCCAGAAGCCGTCGATGCAGAAGGCGGATGGGACGGCGGCTGCACCACCCCCACGTTCTCCCCATGCTGCTGAGGAGGCCTCGAGTGAGGATGAGGARGAGGAGGAGGTGCAGGCCATGCAGAGCTTCGGGGCTGCCCAGCAGAGCGAGGCCGAGCCCAGCCAGACGTGAGAGTCCCAGGGTTTGGGGTTTGACTAAACCAGGGGGGTCTGGATAGGCTGGATCTGTGGGGAGGGGTTGGATTTGGGGGCTGGATCCACAGTGACAATCTTTAACCAGAGGTGAAGGTTTGGACAGGCTGTATTCATGGGGAGAATCCAAGGATTTAGGGGCTGGATCCATGGGGAGAATCCAAGGATTTGGGGTTTTTGGGCTCTGCTCCCAGGGAACGGGGACAAAGCAAGGGGATGCCATCTTTGCTTCTCCAGGAGAAATTTAGAAATTTTGAGCATCAGGGCAAGATTTTTAATAGAAAAAAGAATTGGGAATTGGAATGGGCTGCCTGGGCAGTGGTGGGGTCACTGTCCCTGGGGATGTTGGAACAAACCCTGGATGTGGGTGGCACTTGATGACATGTCATAAGTGGCCTTAAAGATCATTTCCAACTTCATTAATTCTTTGCCAACCTCATTAATTTTTTTCTAATCTTACTAATTTTTTCCTAACTTTGTTAATTCTGCAATTCTGTGGCCTGGGGGGGGGTCACGGGTCACATCCTGACTCCCTTTCTCTTCTCCCTTTCCAGAGTGGTGGGCACTGAGGAGCGTATCCCCATCCCACTTATGGATTACATCCTCAACGTGGTGAGGGGGGTTCGGGGGTCCCCTGGGGGGGTTTGGGGTCCCCTGGGGGGGTTCAGAGCCCCCCCAGCCGCCCTGACTCGCCCCATTTCCCCAGATGAAATTCGTGGAGTCCATCCTGAGCAACAACACCACGGACGATCACTGCCAGGAGTTCGTGGCGCAGCGGGGGCTGCGGCCGCTSGTCACCATCCTGGGGCTGCCCAACCTGCCTGTGGACTTCCCCACATCTGCTGCTTGCCAGGCTGTGGCTGGGGTCTGCAAATCCATCCTGGTATGGCCCTGGGGGACTGGGGGTGTCCGAAAATCCATCCTGAAATGGGGCTGGGGTCTGCAAATCCATTCTGGTATGGGGGTGGGTTAAAATATCAATCCTGGTCCAGGGCTGGGGTCTGCAAATCCATCCTGGTACGGCCCTGGGGGGGGTCCAAAAATCCATCCTGGTATGGCCCCAGGGGGCTTGCGGGGGGCTAAAAATCCATCCTGGGATGGAGCTGGGGGCTCCAAATCCATCCTGGTATGGTCAGGTGACATGCTATAGTCACCAACCCCTCTGTGATTTCTCTGTAAAGCCCCTGTGATCCCATTGTCAGCTGTCTGTGTCCCCAGACCGTGTCCCACCAGCCCAAGGTGCTGCAGTAGGGTCAGTGACCCCTCTGTGACCCCTCTGTCACCTCCTGCGACCCCCTGTTGCCTTCCTGTCACTCCCCTGTCACCCTCTCTGTCCCCAGACTCTCTCTCACGAACCCAAGGTGCTGCGGGCAGGGTTGGTGACCTCCCTGTGACCCCACTGTGACCCTTCTGTCCCTCTCTCTGTCCCCCCAAACTCTTCCCACAATCCCAAGGTGCTGCAGGAGGGTCAGTGACCCCTTTGTGACTCTTCTGTCCCCTCTCTGTCTCCAGACTCTGTCCCACAATCTCAAGGTGCTGCAGAAGGGTCAATGACTCCTCCTGTGACCCTGCTGTCCCCTCTCTGTCCCCAGACCCTGTCCCACCAGCCCAAGGTGCTGCAGGAGGGTCAATGACCCCTTTGTGACCCCGCTGTCCCCTCTCTGTCCCCCCGCACTCCATCCTACAATCCCAAGGTGCTGCAGGAGTGTCAATGACCCCTCTGTGACCCCCCTTTGTGACCCTGCTGTCCCCTCTGTCTCCAGACCCTGTCCCACGAGCCCAAGGTGCTGCAGGAAGGGCTGGTGCAGCTTGAGGCYGTGCTGTCGGCTCTGGAGCCGCTGCACCGGCCCATCGAGGCTCCGGGGGGCTCGGTGCTGCT